GATCCCCCGTGTAGCCTTAACAGACTGTTGGGGCAAGTGCCGATAGTGAGTAGCATCCATGAAGGCCGGCACGGCACGAGAGGGTGTTTGGCCAACATCAAGCCCGGCCGCCTTTGTCTCCCCAGTGGCGTTGTTTACACACTGTACCAGGTACTCATTTGACGCCGAGTCAACTTTAGGGGAGGTCCAGGACTGGTTCATATAATCGTCACCAGTGTTGGCGGCCATGAGCGGGAATCGAACTCGTGTCGCCGGGTTCGTAGCGCAGCGTAGCGCTAACCGCTGCACTATTGTGCACATGCAGGCAGATACAAACACCCTGACATACACACTCGTACACACGTGGCCATACGACTGTCGTAGCTGTACCCTTGCAGGTCGGGCACACAAACTCGCAGCCCGCGCGTGCCTTTGTCCTGCAGGCATGCTCCACACAAGACGCGTGTCCGCACACCGGCAGCAGGTAGGGGCGGCTGCGTGACGCGTCCCAGGCTCCACTGGGAAACAGACATTTTTAAAATCCCAACCAAGGCATGGGATCAGAACAAGTGCTAAGGCAGCACCTGACGCGCAAAGACAGCGTCGACTTTTCCCATTTGAAAGCGGCCACTCCTCGTCATCATCACAGATTAAGGGGTCTGTAATTATGACGATAGACCTGATTTTCATTCAATCAGGTCTATAATTGAATGACAATCGTAGACCTGATTTTCATTCATTTAGGAATTTTCTTTGGGACGTCAGCTAATAAAGTAGATTATCGATTATTCGTGCTGACAGGGAGGACAGCCGCGGATAATTCAAAATCGCGGACATTAGATTACTTTTATTTAAACTATGAACTTCATACATTAACAGTACAATCTAGCAACTAATTTACCTGGTGGTATTGAAACAATTCTTACATGCTTGTGTGAACCAATGCCGCTTGAAATGATACAACAGCAGGCGTTGACGATGAAAAGCGTAAAAAACTATTCTGAGTTTATTGTCCCTTATTTTATGGCCTGCTCAGATCTTCTTTCGGGACTCAATTCGCTACTTTTAGCTCTGACATCAAGCGTAGCGAGTGAGCCTCTATGAAGGCCAGCAGCGTGCTGTTAGTGGTCGTGTAAGCAGAATCACAGCCGTCTTTGTCTCCCGAATCTACACTCGCAATGAACCGAGTACTCATTTAAGGCCGAACTGACCTAAGGGAGGCTCCCAAGAATGGTTTATATTTCGAGTTGCCGCTGTTTCTCCCCGTCAGAAATTAAATTACCTTCACGCATCTTCATGTGGCGTCTCCTTGAGACGACTGTAACTGCACGAGCTAAGGCGTGTCTTTCTGTAAGCGCCACACTGCCTTACGCGAGACTTCAGTTTTACATTTTCCATCATCTACTCCTTTAACGGATGTAGAAATTTAAACTAACTTCTTTCGCACCGTACGTAGCCAATGGTGCTAATCTGATGTGCGGAGCAAGAACAAACACTAAAACACAAAACGCACGCGCATGTAGGCCGTGCTATAAACAATTACCTTTGATTTCCTGTGCGGGCAAGGACGATACAGTCCACTAAAACTACGAGCACGCGGCACACCACCAGCGGCCACGTCTCCTGCCGCGTGTGCAGGCGGTTGCAACTGCACGGGCCCACACGGGCGGGGAGTTGCTGCAGTGCCATGCCACGTGGAGCAGAGGGGGGCATTGGCAGGCTTCATTCTTGTGTTTCTTGCACCAGAACCAGACTCTCACACAGAGACCCAGATACTCTCACACAGAGACCCTCACACAGAGACTCTCACACAGAGACCCAGAGACTCTCACACAGAGACCCTCACACAGAGACCCAGAGACTCTCACACAGAGATTCTCACACAGAGACCCAGAGACTTACACAGAGACCCAGAGACTCTTACATAGAGACCCAGAGACTCTCAACAGAGATTCTCACACAGAGACCCAGAGACTCTCACACCGAGACCCAGAGACTCTGACACAGAGACCCTCACACAGAGACCCAGAGACTCTGACACAGAGACCCTCACACAGAGACCCAGAGACTCTTACACAGAGACCCTCACACAGAGACCCAGAGACTCTCACACAGAGACCCATAGACTCTCACACAGAGACCCAGAGACTCTCACACCGAGACCCTCACACAGAGACTCTCACACAGAGACCCAGAGACTCTCACACAGAGACACAGAGACTCGCATACAGAGACCCTCACACAGAGACCCAGAGACTCTCACACAGAGACCCAGAGACCCTCACACAGAGACCCAGAGACTCTCACCCAGAGACTCAGAGACTCTCACCCAGAGACTCAGAGACTCTCACCCAGAGACTCAGAGACTCTCACACAGAGACCCAGAGACTCTCACACAGAGACCCAGAGACCCTCACACAGAGACCCAGAGACTCTCACCCAGAGACTCTCACCCAGAGACTCAGAGACTCTCACCCAGAGACTCTCACACAGAGACCCAGAGACTCTCACCCAGAGACTCAGAGACTCTCACCCAGAGAATCAGAGACTCTCACCAGAGACTCTCACACAGAGACCCAGAGACTCTCACCCAGAGACTCAGAGACTCTCACCCAGAGACTCTCACACAGAGACCCAGAGACTCTCACACAGAGACCCAGAGACTCTCACCCAGAGACTCAGAGACTCTCACACAGAGACTCTCACACAGAGACCCAGAGACTCTCACACAGAGACCCAGAGACTCTCACCCAGAGACTCTCACACAGAGACCCAGAGACCCTCACACAGAGACTCTCACACAGAGACCCAGAGACTCTCACACAGAGACCCTCACACAGAGACCCAGAGACTCTCACACAGAGACTCTCACACAGAGACCCAGAGACCCTCACACAGAGACTCTCACACAGAGACCCAGAGACTCTCACACAGAGATCCTCACACAGAGACCCAGAGACTCTTACATAGAGACCCAGAGACTCTCAACAGAGATTCTCACACAGAGACCCAGAGACTCTCACACCGAGACCCAGAGACTCTTAGACAGAGACCCTCACACAGAGACCCAGAGACTTACACAGAGACCCAGAGACTCTTACATAGAGACCCAGAGACTCTCAACAGAGATTCTCACACAGAGACCCAGAGACTCTCACACCGAGACCCAGAGACTCTGACACAGAGACCCTCACACAGAGACCCAGAGACTCTGACACAGAGACCCTCACACAGAGACCCAGAGACTCTTACACAGAGACCCTCACACAGAGACCCAGAGACTCTCACACAGAGACCCATAGACTCTCACACAGAGACCCAGAGACTCTCACACCGAGACCCTCACACAGAGACTCTCACACAGAGACCCAGAGACTCTCACACAGAGACACAGAGACTCGCATACAGAGACCCTCACACAGAGACCCAGAGACTCTCACACAGAGACCCAGAGACCCTCACACAGAGACCCAGAGACTCTCACCCAGAGACTCAGAGACTCTCACCCAGAGACTCAGAGACTCTCACCCAGAGACTCAGAGACTCTCACACAGAGACCCAGAGACTCTCACACAGAGACCCAGAGACCCTCACACAGAGACCCAGAGACTCTCACCCAGAGACTCTCACCCAGAGACTCAGAGACTCTCACACAGAGACTCTCACACAGAGACCCAGAGACTCTCACACAGAGACCCTCACACAGAGACCCAGAGACTCTCACACAGAGATTCTCACACAGAGACCCAGAGACTTACACAGAGACCCAGAGACTCTTACATAGAGACCCAGAGACTCTCAACAGAGATTCTCACACAGAGACCCAGAGACTCTCACACCGAGACCCAGAGACTCTGACACAGAGACCCTCACACAGAGACCCAGAGACTCTGACACAGAGACCCTCACACAGAGACCCAGAGACTCTTACACAGAGACCCTCACACAGAGACCCAGAGACTCTCACACAGAGACCCATAGACTCTCACACAGAGACCCAGAGACTCTCACACCGAGACCCTCACACAGAGACTCTCACACAGAGACCCAGAGACTCTCACACAGAGACACAGAGACTCGCATACAGAGACCCTCACACAGAGACCCAGAGACTCTCACACAGAGACCCAGAGACCCTCACACAGAGACCCAGAGACTCTCACCCAGAGACTCAGAGACTCTCACCCAGAGACTCAGAGACTCTCACCCAGAGACTCAGAGACTCTCACACAGAGACCCAGAGACTCTCACACAGAGACCCAGAGACCCTCACACAGAGACCCAGAGACTCTCACCCAGAGACTCTCACCCAGAGACTCAGAGACTCTCACCCAGAGACTCTCACACAGAGACCCAGAGACTCTCACCCAGAGACTCAGAGACTCTCACCCAGAGAATCAGAGACTCTCACCCAGAGACTCTCACACAGAGACCCAGAGACTCTCACCCAGAGACTCAGAGACTCTCACCCAGAGACTCTCACACAGAGACCCAGAGACTCTCACACAGAGACCCAGAGACTCTCACCCAGAGACTCAGAGACTCTCACACAGAGACTCTCACACAGAGACCCAGAGACTCTCACACAGAGACCCAGAGACTCTCACCCAGAGACTCTCACACAGAGACCCAGAGACCCTCACACAGAGACTCTCACACAGAGACCCAGAGACTCTCACACAGAGACCCTCACACAGAGACCCAGAGACTCTCACACAGAGACCCAGAGACCCTCACACAGAGACTCTCACACAGAGACCCAGAGACTCTCACACAGAGATCCTCACACAGAGACCCAGAGACTCTTACATAGAGACCCAGAGACTCTCAACAGAGATTCTCACACAGAGACCCAGAGACTCTCACACCGAGACCCAGAGACTCTTAGACAGAGACCCTCACACAGAGACCCAGAGACTTACACAGAGACCCAGAGACTCTTACATAGAGACCCAGAGACTCTCAACAGAGATTCTCACACAGAGACCCAGAGACTCTCACACCGAGACCCAGAGACTCTGACACAGAGACCCTCACACAGAGACCCAGAGACTCTGACACAGAGACCCTCACACAGAGACCCAGAGACTCTTACACAGAGACCCTCACACAGAGACCCAGAGACTCTCACACAGAGACCCATAGACTCTCACACAGAGACCCAGAGACTCTCACACCGAGACCCTCACACAGAGACTCTCACACAGAGACCCAGAGACTCTCACACAGAGACACAGAGACTCGCATACAGAGACCCTCACACAGAGACCCAGAGACTCTCACACAGAGACCCAGAGACCCTCACACAGAGACCCAGAGACTCTCACCCAGACTCAGAGACTCTCACCCAGAGACTCAGAGACTCTCACCCAGAGACTCAGAGACTCTCACACAGAGACCCAGAGACTCTCACACAGAGACCCAGAGACCCTCACACAGAGACCCAGAGACTCTCACCCAGAGACTCTCACCCAGAGACTCAGAGACTCTCACCCAGAGACTCTCACACAGAGACCCAGAGACTCTCACCCAGAGACTCAGAGACTCTCACCCAGAGAATCAGAGACTCTCACCCAGAGACTCTCACACAGAGACCCAGAGACTCTCACCCAGAGACTCAGAGACTCTCACCCAGAGACTCTCACACAGAGACCCAGAGACTCTCACACAGAGACCCAGAGACTCTCACCCAGAGACTCAGAGACTCTCACACAGAGACTCTCACACAGAGACCCAGAGACTCTCACACAGAGACCCAGAGACTCTCACCCAGAGACTCTCACACAGAGACCCAGAGACCCTCACACAGAGACTCTCACACAGAGACCCAGAGACTCTCACACAGAGACTCTCACACAGAGACCCAGAGACCCTCACACAGAGACTCTCACACAGAGACCCAGAGACTCTCACACAGAGATCCTCACACAGAGACCCAGAGACTCTTACATAGAGACCCAGAGACTCTCAACAGAGATTCTCACACAGAGACCCAGAGACTCTCACACCGAGACCCAGAGACTCTTAGACAGAGACCCTCACACAGAGACCCAGAGACTCTCACACAGAGACCCAGAGACTCTCACACAGAGACCCAGAGACTCTCACACAGAGACCCTCACACAGAGACTCTCACACAGAGACCCAGAGACTCTCACACAGAGACACAGAGACTCGCATACAGAGACCCTCACACAGAGACCCAGAGACTCTCACACAGAGACCCAGAGACTCTCACCCAGAGACTCAGAGACTCTCACCCAGAGACTCAGAGACTCTCACCCAGAGACTCTAACACAGAGACCCAGAGACTCTCACACAGAGCCCCAGAGACCCTCACACAGAGACCCAGAGACTCTCACCCAGAGACTCAGAGATTCTCACCCAGAGACTCTCACACAGAGACCCAGAGACTCTCACCCAGAGACTCAGAGACTCTCACCCAGAGAATCAGAGACTCTCACCCAGAGACTCTCACACAGAGACCCAGAGACTCTCACCCAGAGACTCTCACCCAGAGACTCAGAGACTCTCACCCAGAGAATCAGAGACTCTCACCCAGAGACTCTCACACAGAGACCCAGAGACTCTCACACAGAGACCCAGAGACTCTCACCCAGAGACTCAGAGAATCTCACCCAGAGACTCAGAGACTCTCACCCAGAGACCCTCAAACAGAGACCCAGAGACTCTCACCCAGAGACTCTCACCCAGAGACTCAGAGACTCTCACACAGAGACCCAGAGACTCTCACCCAGAGACTCTCACACAGAGACCCAGAGACTCTCACCCAGAGACTCAGAGACTCTCACACAGAGACTCTCACACAGAGACCCTCACCCAGAGACTCACACAGAGAGCTATTCATCATGGAGCAGCCATCCAGCCGAGTCTTGAGGGATCTGTGGGTCCTCTTGATTTTCATGGGGTGGCGCTTGCCCCGAGCCAATTTCCACATGGATCCTCTCATGTGGCGGCTTCGGTAAACTCGTCCACGTTGCGATGACTTCTGTTTAAAACCGGAAACAAAATCAGTATGAGAGGCAAGAGATTGCAGTCTCCTTCTTCCCCTGTTGGTCACATCCACTCAAATATTTTTTTTCACTTGCCATCTACCACACCACCACCATTGATTGAACACGGGTGTTGTACTTGCCTTTCAGTCGCAAATATCGGACAACTATTTGTAATCCACAGCATGAACAATGTGTGTGCTTGTAATAAATGTGTGCGACTTTGTCGAGGGTGTGAGTGTGATTTTTTATTGTTTGGTGTTGTAACGTTCTAACCTGCCTCTCCTTGACATCTGTGAAAAATAGCTTAATAGCTCATCGGATTCCTCCAGTATAAATATTCTTATTCTGATTTGTGTCATCTATGCATGTGAGATTATGACATTTGCCTGAGTGATCTATATCCACGATGCCTCTCTGGGTGTGGTGTCTCTGTGTGTGTCTGTTGTGGTGTCCTGCTGATTCTCTATGTGACAGTGAAGCCAGCACACTCTCTCTCTCTTACCAGTTGATTCTTCCGCCAGACTCTTAGGCTGGTAATGGTGATCCCCGTGCTCTCCACGTGGTAAGTGATGGCCACCGGCCCACTGTGCAGCATCTTCATCAAGGTCGTCCACCTTGAGGGAGACGGGTATTCTCCATCTTGCGGAACCGTCATCCAACAGCCTAAAGAAGAAGCTGCTTGAGGTACCATTTCGGCCAAGTTCGACCGAGCCTTTTGTTTCGGGAGGTTGGTGGTGTGGACGGCCATCGCTGGCATGGCAGGAGGTCGCGGACGCCACTGTTGAAAACATTGCACAAGTATTTGTAATGTACAGCACGACAACAAGTATCTTTCCCTCTCTTTAGTTCAGCCTTGACTAACAGCTGGATTCTCGGCAATAAACAAAAGTCATTGGTCACGTGCCATGGCCCTGCGTAGTTTGATCCTCTGGTTTTTCCCTCCACATTTAGAAACATTTATTTCGATAATTTAGATTATTTTGCTGCTATGAATGTCCAAATGATGTCACTTTGTTGATCTATCATTTGTGACCAGGTTCCGTCTGAAAAATAAGTTAGTACCTCAGTGGGCTTTGTATGATGGGGATGGTTTAGTTTTATTTGTTTGTTTTTGGGTGATTTGTTAACCTTTCATGTACTTTGCACTATTATCATGTTTTTGTAGTATTTGTTATTGTAATGTTCTTACCAGCCCCGACTGGACATCTGTGAAAAAGAGCTTCATAGCTCATCGGATTCCTCAACCATAAATAAATAGTATTATTCTGACTCTACTGGCTGGGGAAATAGTTCTGTCCGCACCAGGGCAACTCACCAACGCCGCACAAGGACAGCTGAGTCCAGCACATGTCCCAAATGCCACGCTGCCAGTAACAAAAAACACCCTTAAAGTTGCAGTGGATAATATTTAAGCATAATTAATTGAGCAAGGTGTTTGCGACTTTGTCTAGGATGTGTGTGTGGATGTCATATATACTTGTGTGTGTGGTGTATGTGTAGGGGTGTTACGGGAGGGTGAACAAACACACGAGGGGTGGTTATGCCCGCACGCGGAAGGATGCTTATATTCACGTCCGCATCGGTTAGCCCTGGGGGGCTGTAACGGCGCTGTGATCTCCCACGGCCCCACCCCTCGTGGGGGAGTTGCTATATAAGGCGGTGAGCCGGTGGGCACGGGGTTCAGTATTCAGCCTAACTAGTGAAGAGTGAAGACCGGCTAGATAGGCCCTGGGACTCCCCTGGATCGCTGTCCTTCTAAGGACCGACCAGGGCAAGCCAGTGGCGTGGCCCCGAGAGCCCAGAGCCGATGCTCTTGTAAGAGCTGGTCTGGTGGCTAAGGGTGCCGTGATCCTAGCTTGGCCAGAGCTGGATCAGCTAGCCTCCCCTAGCTCTCGAGTGGAGGACCTGGGAGTAGGCTAGCCGGGCTAGAGTTAATGGGGTCTCCCTGTTAGACGGGTGAAGGGACCGTTACCCCTTCGAGTGTTGTATACATTGGCCTGTGCTGAGTGAAACATTATAATAAATAAGTGTGCCTCCGACTACGTCGTCTACGTCTCATTGAACCTACTACATATGCGAGTGAGATTCTTATATCTACGTGAGTGATCTGTACGCGTGATACGTCTCTGCGTGTGGTGGCTCTGCGTGTGTTGTCTGTTGCGGTGCCACGCTATGGTCTGTGTAATCGTGAAGCTGGCACTCACCACTGCATTCTTCAGCCACACTCCGAGGCTGAGGAGGGCGATCCCTGCACTCGCCACCTCGTAGGCGATGGCCACCGGCCTGCTGTGCAGCATCTCCATGAAGGTCTTCCACCCTAAGGGAGCTGGGTCGTCGTCTTCTCCTCCTCCTCCTTGGGGAACCTCCACGCCATGGCTGGGAGAGGAAGCGACTCGAGGCTCCCTCTTGGCTTCGTGATCTGCGAGCCGGTCGCTGATGTGGACAGCCACGGTCGCTTTGGCGAGAGGTAGAGGCTGCCCGGCCTGTGGCGGTTGGACCTCCCAGGCTCCCCCCAGGTTAACCAGCCAGTTCGGGGAGAAATTCTTCTCCTCCGTGGGCCCAGACGTGAGGAACGCGTAGCTCGTCACGAGCAGCGCCACGAGGGTGCGTGAGGTACTGCGCAGCCCATGAGCCTCCATGGTGACTGCTCCGGGAGAGGCTCCAGGAGGCTTCGTGCAGAGAGGCGCTCCTCAGCACGCAGCTCGCAGCGTGGCTCCAGCGGCACACTGGGCGGAAGCGGATATGACGTCACGGCCCGAGGACGGATATATGTTGTGTCTCATCTGTGTGTCTGTATGTCTGTGTGTGTGTGTGCGGTACCGATCCAGCTCCTGACAAAGGAGTGGCAGCCTCTCCTCCGCAGTGAGCGTTCGAACATTCCACGTGGCCATCCATAGTGGCTTTCGTTGTTTCTGGAGGAGCCCCGAGGGTGAAGATTTAATCTCCTGGCTCCGCCAATTGGGGTTTGGCCAGGAGATGTTATAGACGCCTGTCCCCCCGGGGCCTCCGGCACAAGCTTATTAGTTACATATTTATGTTTAATTCGTAGTTTCGTGGTAATAAATTGAAGGTGGAGGGGTTACCAGCCCATCGCACCCGTCCAGAGCCCCCGTTTAGCCACTGTGGTGGTCACAGACGCCATGAGGGGAGAGGCCAATGGGCATTGGCTCTCCCCCCACAGCACTGTCCACGACAGTGTTGCCCATTCAGGCACCGCGAGGAGGTAGGGGGTTGTTTTGCCGGACAGTGATGGGGCAGTAGTGGAGAGAGTGGAGAGTTTCCCACACCTGGGCAGTATGCTTATGACCCGCTCCAGTGTAACAGCAGAGGTCTCACTCCGAATCAGTCAAGTGGCAATATCTTTTCATCGGTTGCGTAATGCTGTGTGGAAGCTACCTGGTCTGTCGCTCCGCACGAAGCTTCAGGTTTTCTCGGCCACAGTCATTCCCTCCCTTCTCTACGCTTGCGAAACGTGGACCCCCCTAATGGAGCATCTTTGCCGGTTGGAAACATTTAGGCTGGCCTGCCTACGATCCATCCTGGGTTTAACCAGGCTGGATTGTGTGAGGAGCTCACAAATCCTTGAAAGATCTGGGTAAAGTCCCATTGGTGAGCTCCTCCGGCAGGCAAGGCTGCGTTGGCTGGGTCATGTAGCCCGCATGCCCAGCCACCGCATGCCTAAACAGCTTTTGTTTGGCCGGATTGAGGGGGCTAAACGGGCACAGCACGGGCTAGAGAAGAGATAGGGTGATGTGGTACAGGAGGACGTGGAGCTGAGTGGACTTGCCGATGACTGGTACCAGCAGTGTCAAGATCGGCCTCTGTAGAGGAGGCTCGTGAAGGACACTACTGGGCAGTTGGAGGCAGTCGCCCTCCAACAACAACGGAGGGCGGAGGAGCGACGCTCACAACAACGAGCGGAGCACCGTGTGGCTAAAGCACAGCAAGTTAGTACAGTAGGGGGCACAGGTGGTGCATTAGCCAGTCATCTCGGTCATCTCAGTCAGTCAACCCGTGGCACCTGGGTCTGCCCCGTGACCTCCTGCCAGCGGGCGTTCGACACTTCACGTGGCCTCAAGGTGCACATGGCCTGGCACAAGCGTCGTGGTGACGTCACCGCCACTTAGTGGCGAATGGCGGTTGTTGTTGTGTGTCTGCACCTGGTCTGTAGTGATTGAAAGGCATGGGCCAGATCAGTTCAATAACAACGGTAGGAGGCTGCTAGATTTTTGTGCAGCCAATGATCTTGTAATTACCAACACGCTGTTCCGGCATCGGCGCATCAACACAACATCACGGATGCATGCTGGATCCAAGCAAGAACATCTGCTAGACTACATAGTGACGGATCAGTGGATGCGAGCCCATGTCCTTGACACCAGGACCTACCGTGGAGCTGATCTGCCCTCTGACCATCGACTGACTAGTCATCTGTAAGATGCGCCTGCCATTCTTCCACTCCGGTGGTGGATGTACATCCAAGACCCCATTCCAACCTAAGGTGGCCTGGTCTCAGTTAGCTTATGAAAGTTGCAAGCGAGAATTTCATCAACGCTTGCGGCTGGGGTTGGCATCGTCCCCCACTCCTGATGTCGAGAGTAAATGGGCAAGGTTTAGGACTGTGACTCATGCAGCTGCAATGGCTGCTTTGGGAACGTGGTCCAGACCTCCCCAAAGACCCTGGATGACAGAGGAGGTGTTCAGGATGGTTGAGAAAAAGCGAAAGGCCCACTCTAATCGTCTACAGCATCCCACATCAGAGAATGAGGAGGCTTACCGCAGCCTTCGCTCGGAGGTTCGGAGAGCCGTGAAGCGCTGCAAGGATGGGTGGTGGTCACGGGTTGCTGAGGAGATAGGAGTCTGCCTCAGTGGCCCGCAAGAACAAATCGCTCTTTAATTTCATGACAAAAGTAACCTGCAGCGCCACACCTATTACCATCATTAGGGGAAAGAATGGTGATCCAATCTCCGACCCCCAGGAACAAGTTTGCAGATTTTCTGAGCATTTCTGTGAGGTCCTAGGGTAGGGGAAATCCCTTACCCAGGAAAACAACGTGGGACAAAGTGGGGATGACCCTGCTGAGGCTGCGGTGCCTCAAATATTGGAAGTCACCCCCTGTGAGTGGCTGGCTGAGGTGCCATTGGTTGAGGAAGTACGGAAGGCGATCCAGAGTCTGAGACCAGGAAAGGCACCGGGCAGAGATGATCTCCCAAGCAAAATGCTGAGGGAGGGTGGCGTTTGTGCACAGACTGCCCTACATGACATCATAACAACAGTCTGGACCACTGGACGGGTTCCATAGGACTAGAAATATGCCCTGGTGGTCCCCCTCTTTAAGAAGGGGGACCGCACAGACTGTAACAACTACAGGGGCATCTCACTCCTCAGTATGCCGGGAAAGGTCCTGGCAAGGATTATTCAACATCGCCTTGCTAGGCACGCTGAGAGGCTTGCGGAGCCCCAATGCGGTTTCAGGAAAGGGAGGTCTTTCACATATGCCATATTTTCTGTCTGTCTGCTACAGCAGAGGTGTAGGGAATTCCAACAAGACCTACATCTCTGCTTTATTGATCTGGTCAAGGCCTATGATACCATCAGTAGGCCTGGGCTCTGGGTTGTTCTTCGTGCTTTCATAGTCCCTGACCCTCTGCTCACGATCATTAAGGACCTTCATGTTGGTGAGTGGGCCCGGGTAAAACTACGTTGCCGGGAGTCAGAGCCATTCCCTATACACCTTGGGGTGCGACGGGGATGTCCTCTGGCTCCCACATTATTTAACATCTATTTTGACCACGTAGTTCGTGAAGCCTTCAATAGCTGTACCGGGGGAATTTCCATTTGGTACAGATATAATGGGAGACTGATTGATGCCCGGGGGCGGTCAAGGGATTGCTCCCTATTGGTCAACCACGTTATGTATGCCGATGATTTGGTAATTGCTGCTCATTCAGAGGAGGAGTTAGAGACGCTTCTGCTGAAACTGGAATGTGCCACTAAGAGGTGGGGCATTACCATTAGCCCCACCAAAATTAAGCACCTGCCTGGGTATTTTGTACCATCAGACACTCCACCCCCACAACTCTCAATCGGTGATGGGGCAGTTGTGGAGAGAGTGGAAAGTTTCCCATACCTGGGCAGTGTGCTCATGACCGGCTCCGGTTTGGCAGCGGAGGTCTCACTCCGAATCAGTCGAACAGCAATATCTTTTCATCGGTTGCGTAACGCTGTGTGGAAGCTGCCTGGTCTGTCACTCCGCTCGAATTTTCAGGTCTTCTCGGCCACAGTCATTCCCTCCCTTCTCTACGCTTGCGAAACGTGGACCACCCTAATGGAGCATCTTCGCCGGTTAAAAACATTTAGGCTGGCCTGCCTACGATCCATCCTGGGTTTAACCAGGCTGGATTGTGTGAGGAGCTCACAAATCCTTGAAAGATCTGGGCAAAGTCCCATCGGTGAGCTCCTCCGGCAGGCAAGGCTGCGTTGGCTGGGTCATGTAGCCTGCATACCCAGCCACCGCATGCCTAAACAGCTTTTGTTCGGCCGGATCGAGGGGGCTAAATAGGCGCAGCACGGGCTAGAGAAAAGATGGAGTGATGTGGTACAGGAGGACGTGGAGCTGAGTGGACTTGTCGATGACTGGTACCAGCGGTGTCAAGATCGGCCTCAGTGGAGGAGGCTCGTGAAGGACGCTACTGGGCAGTTGGAGGCAGTTGCCCTCCAACACCAACGAAGGACGGAGGAGCGACGCTCACAACAACGAGCGGAGTGCCGGGTGGCTAAAGCACAGCAAGTTGGCACAGTAGGGGGCACAGGTGGTGCATCAGGCAGCCATCTCAGTCATCTCAGTCAGTCGACCCGTGGCACCTGGGTCTGCCCCGTGACCTCCTGCCAGCGGGCGTTCGACACTTCACGTGGCCTCAAGGTGCACATGGCCTGGCACAAGCGTCGTGGTGATGTCACCGCCACTTAGTGGCGAATGGCGGTTGTTGTTGTGTGTCTGTGTGTGTCTGTGTGTTTGTGTGTGTCTGTGTGTGTGCGGTAGTGTAGTGATTAGCGCGCTTCGCTAGGAACCTTGCCACCCAGGGTTCGATTCCCGCTCACGGCCACCAACACTGGTGTCGCGTGCCGTGCCGGCCTTCATCGGTGCTGCTCGCTACGGCTACACGGGGAGGCCCAGGAGCGGCTGAGGTAATCGTCAGCAGTGTTGGTGGCCGTGAGCGGGAGTCGAACTTGGAGGGCAGCGTGGTGTTCACCACAATAATACTGCCCGCTCCCCGACTGGTACACGGTACGTACAGTGCAGGGTGCACAGAACTCGCGGCGTCTCTCACACGGTCCGGGTCTCTGCGTGGAGAGCGGGAGACGAAGGCGAGGGTCACACAGGGTCTCAACACGAGTCACGTCACATCACAGACTCATCCTCACCGTTAACCAACATCATCAACACAAACCCACATCATTAACACGGACCCACATCATTAACAAGAAACTCACATCATCAACACGAGCTTACATCATAACCATTCACCCACAACACTGCACATCTGTGAGAAAAAGCTGTATAGCTCATCAGACTCCTCCAGTATAAGTATTCTGATTCTGACATGAACTCACATTGTCACCACTCACAACACACCACCACTATCAGTAACACCACTAACACCACCATTCCTCCTGCCAGTACACTACACAGACACACACACGTCCTCACCACTCACATCACCACTCACTCACAGGTTTTTTTTCCGGTAAAGTCACGTAGGTAAAACATCAAAATTAATAAAAATAAAACAAAAATCACGACGTTTCGGAGGCAACACAAGTCTCCGTCATCAGGTGGGACCGTCACAGCCGGATTAGCTGCATCAAGTGAGGCAATGATTCAAGATGTAATCCCTTAAAAGCAAGTTGAGGGGGAGGAGAGGGGGGGGGAGCTCATCAGAATGTGGTAGCCAATGAATGGAACGTATCGGGAGGGAGGGGGGCGGGGCTCAAAGACGGCACGGAGTGCCACGTACAACGCATCGGGAGGGGGAGGTGAGCGGGGCCAAAAGAATGGACGACGGCGTGGACGCGGTTGCTGTTGCACAACGCCAACGCATTGGACAGAGAGGGGGAGGGGAGGCCTGATACACATGATAGAAAAAGAACGAAAATGCCCATGTTTATACCAATGCTGGCTGTTCAAGGAAGAGAGTACTGTTAAACACTGGGGATGTTAACACTCGGTAAAGTAAAGTAAAATAGTGCCTGTCAGATAAGATGGTCAAAAAAAGTGTAATTAAGTCTTTTTTGCGTGGTTGATCACATCTTTCCAATGATTACTAAGTTTGTACCCATCATCACGGTTGAAATTATGTCTGTGTTTGTATATTTGTATGGCTTCGTGTACAAACCTTTGATGGTAGCCGGGAGGTTTGCAGAGAACCTTGGTCTCGGAAAAGACAATTTCATGAGAGACATTTCCTCCAGAGTCGCCGCCTGTGACAAATAAAAATCGCCAGAAGTGGGGGCGGGGCCCGGTGAGCACGCCCTCGTGACGCAACAGCCCGTAAGCCCCTCCCCCCCAGTACCTTCCCCACCCCGACGCCCCCCTCCCCCCACGAACACCACCAAAGACAAAGCTCCCCCGTAATAGCCTTAACAGACCACCACTAACACCACCACTAACAACAATCCCACCATTAACCACCACCACTAACACCCCCACCACCAATAACAACCCCACCACCACTAACACCCCCACCACCACTAACACCACTACTACCACACCACCACTAATACACAGCTCGGATCCACTCCTCTCGGCTGATCTCCACACGCGATGCTGCTGCTGCTGCTTCTGCTGCTGCTCTCTCCGCGCTTTTCGACCGCCGCCTTTCGTCCAAACCTATGGGTGAGTACATGTGTTTGTATACATGTTTTTTCGTGCCTGTGTGTTGCTGTTAAAGGTTATATTGGTTATGTTTGTATTTTGTAATTCACAGGTTCACAGATTTTTGGTTCGCCTGCGTACCTTGCCCCAGAGGCATACCTGGGCCACATGTCATCTTTCCCGGTTGACATGTGGGGGCTGGGGTGTACAGTGGCCGAGTTGGCTACCGGGCGCATCCTCTTTCCGGCCATCAACAAACACGACCAGCTCCCGTGTTATATGGAGGTATTGCCCACACAGCAGTAACACTGACAATTCCGTTATTGAGTGATCAATTTCATGACCAATTTGCTCTTGAAATCGCGCAACTCAGTCATTGCTTCTAACCATATTTTTCACTTCTCATCGAGTATTTCCGCATCAAGGGTATTAAAATAATATTCAGAATTGGTATGACCAATTGAACATGCGACAGGAAATACTTCCTTACAATTCCCTGAGCAGACCACTTGAGTCGTCTCTTCTGTGAGAAAGAGGCGTACGACTGCTCGCGACTGGTTGCATGGTTGTCCACACACAAGCTACTGAGTTGGATACAACCGCATGACAGAACCAATTACTCAGGCGTAGACCTGTCAAGGTAACTGTGAGCGGAACGCATAGATTTTTAGAGCTGGTGTTATGACTCGTGATAGATTATTGCATGAGGCCACGGATTGGCCAAATGTAACCCTACACCACCTGCAAATAATTTGAATTGTCAGATGAACGAGCATTTATCGCGCCAATTATTGTTGTTTCATCTCAACTGCTTGTAATGAAGAAAATTCTCACAACCATATAAGCAATTTCAAATGACGCCACGGGACCCATTACCTCCGCTGTGAATGAGGCAGATGGTGCATAGTATTTTGTGGTTTAATACCGCAGTAAAGACCAGGGCAGTCACTGGGATTGATCCGTGAACTTCTGCAACGTGCGGCGTTCGCGGTTTTGCTGGGCCATGCCAATAACACTGCCCCGTGCCTGCATGCGAGAACCATCGGGAGCGGTAGCCGAGTGGTTAGCACCCTGACCGTGTGGTGTTGAATGTTGGACCAGTCCTTGGCCTCTCAAATATCGACTCAGCATTAAATCAATACCTGGAGTGATTTGTAAAATAGTTGCTGTGGTGTGGCCTTGGGTGCTGTGCCATCATCAGTAGGTGCTCACAAACAGAACTTTCCACACAAGTGTGTCAATACTGTATGGGTGATCATTGTCTCTGTGTGAATTGTGTGTAGATCCTCGGGATGCCGCCTCAGAATTTGATTGATGACGCGCCTGAGAGAAACAAGTACTTTGGTGAGTGAAGGGGCGTGCGGGGGAATCGCGTTAAGTTTGAGGGGGAGCTGGGTCCGTTAAGAGTCTAGTGGGGCATTACTTTGTATATTCAACTACTTCCACATGTGTTTTGGCAGTCAATATGATTCGTAATGCATTTTGCATTTTTGGGGATGTCTGTGTGAGGCTGTGTGTCTGTGTGAGATTCTATGGGTCTATTTGCAAGTATATTGTCCCTGTGCGAGTCTTTGGGTTTCTGTGTCAGTCAATGTCTGTGTGTGATTCTATGGGTCTTAGTGCAAGTATATTGTCTGTGTGTTTCGATGGGTATTTGTGTGAGTCAATGGGTGTCTGTGTCTCTGTGCGAGTCTGTGTCTCTGTGTTTGCCAATGTGTCTTCCTGTGATTCTATGGGTCTTTGGGCAAATATAGTCTTTGTGTGAGCTATGGGTCTCTGTGTGAGTCTATGGGTCTATGTGTGTGTCTATGGATATATGTTTGAGTCTATGGGTCTCTGTGTGGGTGTATGGGTCTATGTGTGGGTGTATGGGTCTATGTGTGAGGTTATGGGTCTCTGTGTGAGTCTATGGGTATCTGTGTGAGTCTATGGGTGTCTGTGTGAGGCTGTGTGTCTGTGTGATATTTTGTGGGTCTAATTGCAAGTATATTGTCCCAGTGAGTGAGTATTTGGGTTTCTGTGTGAGTCAATGGGTGTCTGTGTGAGGCTGTGTGTCTGTGTGTGAGTCTATGGGTCTTAGTGCAAGTATATTGTCTTTGTGTGAGTTTATGGGTCTCTGTGAGTCTATGGGTCTCTATGTGATTATATGGGTCTATTTGCAAGTATATTGTCCCTGTGTGAGTCTTTGGGTATTTGTGTGAGTCAATGGGTGTCTGTGTCTCTGTGCGAGTCTGTGTCTCTGTGTTTGCCAATGTGTCTTCCTGTGATTCTATGGGTCTTTGGGCAAGTATAGTCTTTGTGTGAGTTTATGGGTCTCTGTGTGAGTCTATGGGTCTCTGTGTGTGTCTATGGGTATATGTTTGAGTCTATAGGTCTCTGTGTGGGTGTATGGGTCTATGTGTGGGTGTATGGGTCTATGTGTGAGGTTATGGGTCTCTGTGTGAGTCTATGGGTATCTGTGTGAGTCTATGGGTCTCTGTGGGATTTTTTTCTCTGTGTGTGTCATTGGGTCTCGGTGTCTATGGGTCTGTGTGCAAGTATATTGTCCCTATGTGGGTGTATGGGTCTCTGTGTGAGTCTATGGGTCGCTGTGTTAGTCTATGGGTCTTTGTGCAAGTATATTGTTTCTGTGCGAGTCTTTGGGTTTCTGTGCGAGTCAATGGGTGTCTGTGTGAGGCTGTGTGTCTGTGTGAGATTCTATGGGTCATTGTGCAAGTATATTGTTCCTGCGTGAGTCTTTGGGTTTCTGTGTGAGTCAATGGGTGTCTGTGTGAGGCTGTGTGTCTGTGTATGATTCTATGGGTCTTAGTGCAGCCGTCCTCCCCTAATTAGCGCGAATAATCGAGAGTCTACTGTACTTGGCTCCCATTGCCACTGCTTTGCAGCACTGAGTAATGAGCGAAAGCCCACGAGCACAAGGGGACAACATTCACAGGGCCGCACAGACAAGTCACGTGCCCCAACTTTCTATACTGCCATCTTTCAGCCCCATGAGTTTACAGGCACGTGCCACCACCTCGGTCAGATCAGTAAATGCAATCACGTAAAATTGTCCATTGCAATGATTGATGTTGATTGACGTGGCTCTGTTGCTGTCCCCTTTGTGGGCCGAGTCGTCTGCGCGGGAGCAGGAAATTGTTATCATTGAGCACGCGCATCGATCTATCGTGAGTTCTACAATTTTAGTTTAATTCATTAACAACTCAATTTTCTTAACTTAAACATAACTTATACCACTATACTTTAGTGGTTTTTGGCATAGAGATCCACGGAAGATGAAAATTTGGGATTATCCACGATTTTGAATTATCCGTGGCCATCCTCCCGGTCATTAGTGTG